ATGGCATACCAATCCAAAATGACGGCCCCTGTACTCTTTATGACTTTAATTGTCGTGTAATTTGAAAGTAATCTTAGAGATGAATTTGACGGCAAAGTGACCATATTTCCACGTGGCGCAGAAAGCTCATTTTTTGGCAAATTCAATAACAACATTTGCGACAACCGACTTCGTTGGGGGTGATTTTTTTTTCTTCAGAGAACGGACGAAAATCAGTGCGTGCACAGGATGTCATCCAAAAAAATAAAAAAAAATGTGGCCTTACATTCTCAGAATTTTCATTTTTACTGATCTAGAGGTTGTTGTTGTCTGTCCGCTCATTGGCATTTGTGGGCAGTATAATGTTATCATTGTCTGCCTCTCTTGGGAAGAAGCAGGAAAATGTTCTTGCACAACAGCTATTCTGGTATCGTTGTTTATCAGCCTCAAGTTTGCTGATCCTATTGTTCTGTCTGGTAATTGTGTCTTCGTGGCGATGTATTACTTCTTTTTGTGTTTGTATTTCATTGGCTTGTCTATTGATGGTGGTTGCTTGCTGTGAGATGGTCTTCTTATATTTTGCACATTCACCTTCTAATTTTTGGATCATTTTAGATGCTTCATCCATTCTCTTTTTGGTAGTTTCTTGTTGTTGTTTAACTTCTTTGTTTTCTGCCTTCAACGCCTGGACTTCTGACCAAAGGTTTTGGTTCTCTTGCTCCTGGGTCTTCTTTTCTGCCTTCAACATCTGGAATTCTGACCAAAGGTTTTGGTTCTCTTGCTCCTGGGTCTTCTTTTCTGCCTTCAGCATCTGGAATTCTGACCAAAGCTTTTGGGCCTCCTGCTCCTGGGTCTTCTTTTCTTCCTTCAACTTGTGGACTTCTGACCAAAGCTTTCCGTTCTCCTGCTCCTGGGTCTTCTTTTGTTCTGCTGCTAGTGCTGCAGAAAAGTGCTGGAGCTGAGCGTTGATCATCTTCTGAAGTTCAGTTGGATGAACAGATACCAAGCCATCTGGACATGGGGCTGTGTCATCACTGGCAGAATCTGGCTGGCAATGTTCTACCAGTTTCTTGTTGTCATCACTCTCAGAAACTGGAACTGGTATGGAACAACCATTTTAACTTTAACGAGGGACTGTTGAAACAAATCCCAATTTTTTAGCAACATTATAGTTTTATTGCAAAAGACTGTTCTCTGGTAAGCTATATATTTGGAATACTTGTCATACATTTCTTTATATCAAAAAATTTACCCGGTTTTTGTAACTCCTCTGTTATACAGCATTATGCTATATGATTATTTTTTTCTCTCCACCCTCTCCTTTTTATTTTTATTCTATTTATAATGATAACTGTTATATCAATTATTAAAAAGAAATACCTGGTGGTGGCAAGCTTGGTCCAGCACATGCAGCATCAAGATCTTGTTTGAGAGGTCCAGCAACATGGGGGTAGTCTTCCTTTATGATGTCCACAAAGGCATACAAGACCTCTTTGTTTCTGGGAAGACCGTCCAACACTGCCAGGGTCTTCTCCTTCTCTGACTTATAGTTGGCCTGTAGAGAGTGAAATTATCTAAAATCATTATCTGTCAATTATCTAAAATCATTATCTGTCAATGACCTTAAGGTCAACTGTATGTATGAGCTGTATTAATAGTCCATGACCTCTAGTAATAGTAAAATATCTCCAGTGATAGTAATCAGTCACTTTATGGTGCATTCTCAAAATTTCAGTGCACTTAACAGTGTTCAAAAACTCGAAAAAAAATTTATCTCAAAGATGTAGTGATAAAAGCATTTCAATTAAAATGAAAAAAAAATGCAATTCATAAATGAATGAAGTGCTATTTTAAAATAGACAGTTCTCATACTTTTTAAAATCTCATAAAAATTAGTTATAAAATGGTGAAAATACTTTGCTTCACAGGCAGTTCTTATTTCAAAGCTTTGGGACATACATCCTTAAAACCTGGTTTATATTGGGCATAATTGCATTCTTTTTCCGTGGTGACTAGTCAAGAAATTGTGAAAAGGTGTACTTAGGACAATTTTCTTACATTGTAGTCTGCGTTCCTTATCAGAATTTTGAGGAGTCTGTCCCATCAAGGAGTTATAACAGAAGGAGATTACACGCAAGCCTTTCTATTGTCCGATGTCTGTTACGGTGGGCGGAGCTAGCTACGGGGGGCCTCCGGTCTCAAGGTTTCGTCTGCGTCGCTCTCCTCAGCTTGGAGATAAATTTCATATGCGTTATTTCGCGTTAGAATTCGAGATCAGTAATGTCAAAGCGCCGCTGTATGCTGACGATTTTTTCACAGGTAATTATTTGGACGATGTGCTGGAAGGGAACGATATCATAGAAAGCGATTATAAGGTGGTGACTGAGGATGGTCGCCATGAGCTTTTTTTAGTCGGTGATAGATGGCTTTTTTATGGCACAACCCGGTGAAAAATCACCAAGGAGAAGTCAAAAGAAAACGTCCCAACTGTGGTTTGTGAAAATGACATTCAAGTGAACGTCTGTCCTCACTGCCAAAGGACATAATATTAATACATTAACGTTTGGACCCTCCTGCCCTTGGGTCCCATAAACATATACATTGTGACAGTGCCTGCGCTTTGTGTCTGGTTTTAAATTTCTTAAAGTATTTTTTCTCTCACTCGGTATAATTTTAATATTATAATGCATTTAATTAAAATTTTAATCCAAGGTTGAGGCAATGCCACGACACGTCAGTTTACTGAATACTCGTTATAAATTTCTTTATCTTGGAAATTTCCCTTTTTTTCAGGATTATTTGACACGTACTAACACTGTTCATATTTGTCGGTAAACAAGTGCACAGTGCTATACATTAAGAATAATTTTTATTCATTCATAAATATATTTATGTACAAAATATATCAGAAATTTTAGTATTCACTGAGCTCTTTAAAGTGAAACAAATAAAGATGAGAATATTGAATTTCAAACTATTATTTACTATATTAACTTAANGAACCATAGTCCGTTCCCCATTAGTTTATACAGGTGTGACAGGAATTGAAGTCTGCTAGGAACCATAGTCCGTTCCCCATTAGTTTATACAGGTGTGACAGGAATTGAAGTCTGCTAGGAACCATAGTCCGTTCCCCATTAGTTTATACAGGTGTGACAGGAATTGAAGTCTGCTAGGAACCATAGTCCGTTCCCCATTAGTTTATACAGGTGTGACAGGAATTGAAGTCTGCTAGGAACCATAGTCCGTTCCCCATTAGTTTATACAGGTGTGACAGGAATTGAAGTCTGCTAGGAACCATAGTCCGTTCCCCATTAGTTTATACAGGTGTGACAGGAATTGAAGTCTGCTAGGAACCATAGTCCGTTCCCCATTAGTTTATACAGGTGTGACAGGAATTGAAGTCTGCTAGGAACCATAGTCTGTTCCCCATTAGTTTATACAGGTGACATGCGTCCCATATTTAATCCCCTATACTCCGACTCACCCAAACCTGCATTTATCATATGGGCCCCCGGACATTCATTCCTAGGACTATAATTCCTGTCATATTGACTAGCCCAAACCTGTAGTAATCACATGGGACTCAGGACTTCATTCCTAGGACTACCATTCCTGCCACACATGCGCGATCACGGTTATTCACATATCAGCTACGGAACTAAGCGGGATCAAATCACAACCACACACAAGGTTACCTCAGACCATCAATTCCGAAACTAGTTTTATTCCGAGGTTAATCTTCAGATAGCTGATGGCAACATCCTCTCCTCTCACTTATCTAACAGACTATATCCTGACACTTTGTATGGTTGGCAAAATAACAAGTTCCTTAAAGCAGACACGTGAAGTGATGAGCAAGAAGGATGTATTAAACGCCAATTTAGTCCACATAATCCTGTCAGAGAAACCAGAGTAGAGTTTGATTATGGTAATTTGCTAAGTTAATTTGGTTGGTGTTTGAAGCATAGAGGATGTGTCGGGCTAGGTTACATATTGCAGTGAGTTAAAGAGTACTGATGCTGTCACACACGCGTACGCCGCTACTAATGTCACATTAGCGGTCTATCCAGTGACAGTGGGGGTGTTATGATCTGTGATGGTACATCTGCTATGTTCAAGGAGATTAAACTGACCTCCAAACCAAAATCACGTTGCATAAGTAGGGAGTCCTGACAGGTTGTCTCGTTAACACACATTACACTCAAAATAAATAAGCGCAATTTGACTTGTAAGGAACTGCCTGTATGACGTGTAAGGAGCGACCTTTGTGAAATGTATGGTAAGTGATAGGGAACATTTGCAAGAGGGGACCATGAGGGAAAGGTCTAATGTAAATCTTGTTTTCTTCTGAAGTCACAGTAATAAAGAGAATTGTCGTTTTGGCACGCCATACATTGGCAGAATGGACAATCGTGGTAAATAAATTATCGTCACATAAGACTTTTCTAAGCAGTCTCTTGGCTAAGGATTGTGTTTGCTTAATTCCTCAGCGTCAGAAATGGACAATTTGTGGTAGAACACCCCTACACCCAAACTTCCCACCTTATATATCTTGGCCATCTTTGGCCTGATTTTATGCTCTCATCCTGTTGTTGCAGTCACCCGTCAGTATTGTGGAGAAAAACCAATAGACGAGCTTGTGCAACAGAAGCATTTACTATTCACTGTACTTTAACCTGAAACGGGTGTCATGAAGCTTTGCCTCGTGGTCTAACCCGAGTTAGGCCATACAGTGCCAATGATACGTGCACAATCAATGCTGCACTTAGCAATGAAGGTCATAAAGGTACAACGACCCTGATCCCACGACTGACACAGACCGACAGTGGGCAGGAAACGTTTGATTTAACAATGACTGGGCATTTATTGGTAGAAGAATCTGTGCTAGAAGTCATGTTCAGAAAACTTGTTTGAAAGAGGCCGGGGTACATAATTACCAGACCTGCGCTATACTTGTATGTCTGATTTGGAAACGTTTGCTACAGGAACGTTTTTTACATAGTTACTAATAAACTATTCTAACAGTGGGCTGTGAACATCTTTCTATAGTAAATACCTCGTACAATTTCCTCTGTGTTCTGATAGTCAGATTTGGTTGGCGGCGGCTGCCGTATCCTGGCTCTGGGAACGTGACACATCCATTCCCTGCAGCACTTGCCTCTGACTGTGACCAGCTGACAGTTGGGGTTGGTGGGTTTGGTCTGTTCTTGTGGACATACAGAGACACAGCCGTAGTTACCATTCTGGCATGTGCACATAGTGCGGCAGTCTTTGTACCACTGGGAACCATCCTCGTGGACCTTGCCGTCAACTTCACAGGATTTGGCTTCTTTTGCTGAAACAATTACACCGCTAGTTTAGGCAAAGACGACATAAACACTGTAGTTTTAATAAACATTTGGGGTCCGTTTTGGCATTTTATTCACACAAAAGATGTGTGTGTGTGTTTTTGTCCTGGGAGCATATGACAGAGTTTGCAGAAACCGTGCATATTTAGAACCGATAAACGTAACATTAACCAATATTTCTACGTACCTCTACATATCCCGCGTCCATTGGTGCCATCTCCGAATGTTGTGTCACACGTGAGTCCTTTAGCCTCGTCACATATGTCCCTTTTGTTACAGGTCTCTCCTTGTTGACGGGCGCAAATAAAACAGCAATTACAGCCGTCTTTCACCCCTCCCACCCCTTCCTGACACGTGATGGACTGCTCCGTGCATTGGCATGGCCCACGACAAACATCAGTGTACTGAAAGGGAATCAGAAGACACAGTGTCAGAACAGTTACAGCTCCAATAACTAGTATAGATATTCTTCCGACATTGAGAGCTTGATGGTACCAGAGAGTCTTAGAGTTTAGACGGCGGCACATTTGGTGCACAAATGCCATATTTCTATCATGAAAATGCGGTTCAGAGTTCTGAGAACATAGGATATGTGTGTAAGTGGAGGCTGAAGGAGAATCCGTGCTCTTGATATGGCCGACTCTGCTTGTCTGACTTGTAGTTCTCTGCTGTTAATGCCGTTATCATGGTGTCAATCTTTTCCTCCATTTAAAACGGCACTTTTAATCAGGTGAACAGAAAAGCCTGCTTTTCAACATTAGAGTGTGTTAATTATCAACCAAAAAGAGCACAGCGTAAAACGTATCGATTAACAATTGATGAGTGTGAAGTACCCTTGGCGTTCGTGAAATTAGTTCAATCATATGGATTGATAATTTCCTATCTTGCTGTTTTTGTCTTATTAATGTGTTCATTCACGTTATACACACAATTAATGCTCAGACGGTGCGTTTAGTCTCTCCCCCAAGCCGTACTCCCAGGATTGAAGACCTGAACATATCAAAAGATTCAATGTAACGTTATCTCAAGTGGTAATAAGCCAATAATTAGAATGTGGTACACAAATGGCGCTGCTCGACGACCTCTGGCTTTCGATTATTTAGCTCGATTATTCACGTCACGGGTAACTCTGTGACCCTGTCTTCACTTACAACATCCAAGGAGAAGTAGGAGTGCTTTACCCCTTACAAAGCCATGGTCGCAATAATAACGGCAGAGACAATCGATTGTTCACTTTGAATTGAGCTGGAAGTCGTGTACACATATAAACAGTTATCATGTGATATTACTACCAACAGTCCCATTATCAGCTTTCAGGTCAGTGGCTGGGATGGCAGTCTTACACAATACAGAGCCTTGGTTCCTAAGCAGAAAGTAAGCATCTCCCTGCGTCCTAGTAGCCCCTCATACTGCTGTAGACACCTTGACCTTGATAAAAAAAGGTTCCCAATATGCCACTGGTACAAAAGACCGTTTCTCATTAGACTGATCCATATCCTGAGTGCCACTCTGAATCCGGATACGCTCTCCTCTTCTGTCGAACTCCAGGGAATTGTGAATAAAAATGGAAATGCACAATCAAGTAGCTCGCACAAATCATAGCCTTCAAGTTGAGACAGACAAATGAAACAATTGACTTATCCCCGGCTCAATGTCACTGTTGGCGTTAGAGACATCTTTGTCACGGAAAAACATTTGCCATAAATGAAATTACCGGGTATGTTGACCTAATCTGTTTACCGAGGAGTGGTCGGGAGTGGTGAACCAAGTCTTCTCCGTTGGTGATAACTTTACTGCTTTGATTTTCATAATCAAGGGGTTTGAACTCCAAAGAACGAGGTACGTTGAGGACAGTGATAATTCTGGTATGTTTTACATTATGCATGCTATATTAAAGGGGATAATAACTCTCCGTATGAGATCTATATTTCACATTAAAAACATTGTGAAATATAATATATTCTATTGTACCACAAAAAGGGCAGTTATAGCTATTATTCTGATATCTGAGCTTGTCTGTAGACCAAGTGACCTCCATTGATGGCTAAAAACAAAACTCTTTAGGAAAAAAAACAGGGACTAACTTTGAATGTAAAAATTAGTAATTATGGGAAAATTCTTGTTTACTCCAGGAAAATTCATTTTTTGGCCAAAACGAAGAGTTACTATCCCTTTAATCCACATTTCTTTATTTGAATCAATGTTTACACTCCGCACGCACATACATATTGTAGCTAAATCATGGCAAATTACCATTATTATATTTTCCAGATTATTGCTGCCAAATATGTAAAAAAAAATATTTGTCAAAAATAACATTCTGCTTCTATTCATGGAGTTTGTAAAGATTTTTTTGATCTGGTCACAAGTTAACGTTTCATGTTAAATGCGATAGTTGAGACGGCTAATGTGCCAGCAGGCTCTGTTGATTGCATTGAGATCAGCTTGGAAACCGGGAGCTTGAAAAGCAAGACACTAAATTCCTGTTCTGTACGCAGACACTGTGCATTGAGATCAGCTTGGAAACCGGGAGCTTGAAAAGAAAGACACTAAATTCCTGTTCTGTACGCAGACACTGTTGTCAAAAATGGAAGTGCAAGTTTCGTGATATTGCCTATATCTATACTTACTACCAAGACGCGCATTCTACGATCACCCAGGAAATCGACCCGTGTTTGTTAAAATGTAGTTGATCTTAATATATTGTTTTAGTGGAATATAATGTAAATGCTCGAAATTAACCTTTTTCTTTTATATTTGATATATGCTCTTATTTACAAATCATACGTTTTCAAGATAATTGAAGATTATTAAAGAAAATAAATAAGACTTAAGAATTAGAATTCACAGATGGGTTTCTATTTTATGACACGGTGAATGGCGTTGCCGTGTTAATAATTCAACGTAAGGGCCCTCGATGACAATACACACAAAGTCATTGATATAATGTTAATCAGATTTCCTTATTAAATGTTAGTCATATCTCGTGATAAACTGTAAGTCAGGTCTCATCATAAACAGTTAGCTACATCTCATCATAAACAGATATTCAGACCTAATTATGAACAGTAAGCAAGATCTCATTATAAACAGTTAATAAGTATGATCTCATTATAAACAAGGGTCAGATCTATTTTTCTCCTACTCCTGAGATCTCTACCCCGTCATTGGTCAGCATGATAATTTCTGTAACTAGGGTTTATATGACAGAGTGAGACGATTTTTTTCGAATTAAATGTTCCCATTTTGGGAGAGGGTTTGAAGGTTTACAGCAAAACAAATTACACTGGTAAGAATTATTTTATATTTTGATGAACTCGAGAATTTAAAGTTTGTAAAAAGTCAAGCCTTTCAAAACAGGGAAAAAAACGGTACTTAGGGTTCGGCACAGATTCCGTATTGATTGAGATTGAGACTGGCCTAATAAAGCTATTATGTTATTGCATTAGTGAAAAAAAAAAGCGTGAGAATTTTTCTGCATTGGCGTGCAATTATTGTTAATGTGTCAATCCAGGCGGTATATGGACCAGCCGTACGTGCAGCATAGCACGATATTTGTGCACTGAGAAACTATAACACAGCAGACACCACAGAGTGTTGAGAATCAATTCTCCTGCCTAAGTGCTACCCAACCGTACAAGCCGTGGCTGATACGATCTCAGGCGATGGCAATGCGCCATTACCAGTCGCATGGCTGTCACCTCTGCCATATGACAAATAGTTCCTGAACTGACGTCATGAGTACGAGGCAGGAGTGTCCATTTATGAGTGCACAATATTTGTGTGTGATAATACATTTCAGTGCCCCAAAAGACAGCGAAGCTGTCAAATGTACAGACAACAAGAAGGAAAAATAATCCAGTCAAGTTGGTTTGCCAATTTGAGCTGTATGCCAATCATTCTTGGAAATTACTAAATAGTAAGTAACACAATTTGCCTTTTAGAGCATTTGCAGTGGCAGTGCACAAAATATTTTTATCAATTTTGATGCAGCGTAACTTAATACTTAACAGCTTATAATCATCACTAGTTTTAAATTATGCACTGCAGGTAACATAGATATTTTAAAAACGTGACCAGCCTTGGTCTTCAGGCCCATGAAAACTCACACGTTAAAATGCAAATATGTACACAAGCACTGAGATGTGTGATTTTCATTTTCAACACTTATTAAATAATATACAATAAGAAATTTATTTTCATTTAAAATAATCAATTATTTTTTTAAGATGGTAAAATATCAATAGAACAATTTAAATGCCCAATTTGCTCCATTCTGAGATTCCGAAAATAATGAGGAATTGAATCTGACAAACTACACTGATTTGACTCTTTATTACACAATACACGATGACAGATTTGCCATACTTTTATACAATCAACTAACAGAATTGTTGAGATGCAGAAAATTTCAAAGAACACTTTTACAAATATAATAAGTTCAATACTGAGACTGTTTACATGCCTGAGAATTGAATATGAGGAAAAGCCACCATACATGTAACTTCAACAAAAAAAAGTAATCAATCTAATATTCGAACTTGATCTATATATCAGAGATTTGAATCAGTCCTGCAAGTTTTAAAGCAAATTATGACATGGTTTTCATTTCATTTGTAAAACAGCGGATGAAATATCCTAAAAAGCGAAAAAAGCATACAATTGGGAAATGGTACGATCAGGCTGATTTTTAAACTTGACCTGCGTATTATGAATATTCATCAGTTCTGTAAGTTTCAATCCAAAAAGTAAAATGGTTTTCCACTTATCGTGTTATCGGTGAAAGTGCACGGCAACGGCAACGGCGACGATGACAACCACGCCAAACACAGGCGACGGCTATATGTACAGACACAGGCGACGGCTATATGTACAGACACATTTGTGTCACACACACACAAACACAGGCGACGGCTATATGTACAGACACATTTGTGTCACACACACACAAACACAGGCGACGGCTATATGTACAGACACATTTGTGTCACACACACACAAAAAAAAAAAAATAAAAAAATAAATAACCAATTCGTTAATTCACATTTCACAAAGTCAGGTTTAACAGGGTCCCTTGCTTGCGCCACGTGCTTCATTCTGATGGAAGGAATATGCAGACAGTCTGTGGTGTAAGTTGGCTGTCACGTGGCTTTCGTGTAGCTTTCATTTTACCGCTTTTTTGTTAAAAAAATTTATTAAAAATACGATATTGTTTCTGGGAACATCTAATAACATTTTCTCTTATCAATGTAATTCACTGTTAAGTCAGGTCCACCTCCAGCCTGTTTAACTTCTGCCTCCATTTCCTGGCGGCTTGGGTGAACAGTAGGAAGAAATATAACTGATGAGATATTAAGATTGTTGGCAAAAACGCGGTACAACTCTTTCTTTTCTCTCGGGGATGCTGTTGTTGAGAATTTGTCACAATGGAATCACCTCTACAGCATCGACCATCCGCTCAGCGCATCAAGTGTTGTGCATACAGCGGCGAGGTTCTTTTATTATATATTTATAATTTGCCATCCTTGTTTCCATGTTATGTTCTTTTTTAAAAATTTACTCCAAATGGCCTCTGTGGCATTGGATGCACATTTGCAAACGTCGCGAAAAATGTCAATTACTCGAACACATTCCTCTCTTGGGATTTCCCTGATTTTTCTCTGTGATTCTTCCTACAGTTCGCCAATTGCAATTGCTTGAGGGTTAATTGTTCTGGTACTCATTATCTTTGAGATATCCCCAAAGATAAAACTCTAGGGGGTTCAAGTCTGGTTTATGCAGTGCCCACTCAAGGTCACACTTTCTGTTGACCAGTCGTTCCTGAAATCGCTCTGTCAGCCGGGCTAGGGAGCTATTTGATGTGTAGGGGTGGCCCTGTCTTGCTGGAACCACTGTCCATCTTGATCTATGCCTCTGCGTCATCCCAGTGATGTCCAAAACTTCCTCAGTACTGCCACCTAGCGATGTCAGAACAGACTGAGCAGCAACAATTGTAGCGTTGAGTGAGCTGCAGAAGGCATTTCGAGCAAATTTCGTGAAATTTCATGGAACTTTGTAGGATTTAATGATTTTTTATGGGTTCCGATTTTTTTTAGTTACCCTGTATTAACAAATACAAGAAGGCATTTTAACATTCTTAACTTCCGCATAAATCACTTTCTGACATTTTATTTGATTTCTATACCACATTTCTCCTCAAATTTCTGAAAAGCGCAGCCTAACGTACTTGGGCATCTTGGATCAACAACGATTATTCTACTTTGCGTTTGGGATTTATTAAGTTAAGGCAGGAATGCATTAAGTTTCATCCGTTTACTTTGAAGGATGCTTGTCAGGATGGGATAAACTAACCCTTGGGCAATGTTACATGGCGGTAATAGAGACACAAAGGCCTTGGATTTCTCATTCGTTTTTATAAACCTATCTTAAATTGTTTCGACATCCATGCGAATAATCCAGACCAAACCGTAGTAAATAGGTAGCACACTGCATTTAACCTCTTCTCTACTAAAGATCTACTAGGACACCTCTCGTGACCGGAGGAATAGGTTTTAGATGTGCTCCTGGAACAAAAGTAAATTCTAAATTGATTGAGTTTTTTCCCCTGTTGTTTAACTAACATCATGTCCACTGCGCCGTAACTTGGTATTATGTAGAGGAAAAACTGAAGGCCGAGTGTGAAGACATGTTTTCAACTATTGATCATTTAGAACACTCCACTTCAAAGAATTCTCCATTGGTTTGAAAACCCCCAGAACCTTATTTTTTCCATTCACAGTTTCTAGTAAGACCTAACATACACCTTAAAA